GTCTGCTCCCCCCGTGGTGGGGAAGAGGGGGGGGTGTGTGCGGGCATCCGCCTGCCCCTGTCTGCCGGGTTCGCAAAACAAGGGATTCTCCTGCCGGATCCTGGACCCTTCCCGGATTTCCCCCGAGGAAACGAGCGAGTAGCCAAAAGCGCTTCTTTTTCGTCTTCGCCTGACGGAGGAGGTTGCGACCTTTCCTCTCTCTCTCTCGGATGCGGAACTCGCTCGTTAAAACCTGGTTTATCGCGAAGCGCTTTAAACCGGGGAATAACCTTGGCGGGGGGGGGGAGCGGCATTCCCGCACGGAGCGGTTGAACCCTCCTCCCCACCCTCCTCCTCCTCCTCCTCCCCAAAACGTTCCGAAGACTTCCAGACTTCTTTCTTTAAATTCCGAACGCGGCGGTTGGGCTTTTAAACGAACCCCCTAAGCCTGAACCTCTCTCCTCGCGTTCCGCTCTCGGCTCTGAAGATCGGTTTGCCGCTTCCCGAGGGAAGAGGAGGGAAAATAAAAAAAGGGGGATGGGGATGAGGGGGGGAGGAAGGCTAACGAGGGTGTTTCAACCGACGGGAATGGGGTGTTCTGTCGTTTGGTCGAGCTGCCGGGAGCGCCGCGGAGCCCCGATTCTTTACAGAGGGTTAAAATTCCTCCCCCGCCCTCTCCCCCAAAACGTCGCGGCATCCCCCCGCGGGACCGGCACCGGTGGGGGAAGCTGGTGTGTGTCCCTCCCCCCCGGCAAGGCCACGGCTCGAGGGGTGGCTTTGGGGGAACCGGAGTTCCTTTCGTGATTTTGGTTTCTTTTAATTACGTTTCCGTTTTTTGGACGGTTTCATAATTGATCTACAGGCGCCTGGGAATGACAGTAGGTAAAGAGTCTGCGAGTGAAATAAAATAAAAAAGCGACCAAAAAAAAAAAAAACCAAAAGAAAAAAAACCCCACGAGAAGTGGTAAACCGCCTACAGAGGAAAGAAACCAGACTCGAGATTTAAGAGATAAAAAGGCAGCGGAGTGGAACCTACGCTTCTCCCCATCGTACGCAGCAAAGCGTCCCGTCACCGCCACGCAGCGCACCCGGCGAGACGCCGCTCCGTGCTGCTGCGGGAATTCGGGCGGGAGTTGCCGATTCTCTCGTTCACTCACCTTGAGGTATTTTTCCAGCATCTTTACGATGTGTTTGTTGTTCAGGACGCTCTTGGCGACGTGTAAGCTGGTCTTTTTGAACTGCTCCGCAGCCATCTGCGAAGGAAGCGAACATCGGGGGCGGTTTGAACGGGGGAAGCGTTTCAACCAGGAGTTTGGCTCCAGAGTTTCTTAATTCCCTCCTCCCCCACAGCGCCTGGGAAGCCCCATCCCCAAAAAACATCCCCAAAAAAGCGGACGCGAGGGAGCACCCGCATCTTTTCCGCTAACGCGAGCCCCGGAGAAAGATCTGCTTCGGCAGCAGCAGCTGCGACATCCCCCAAAGACCCCCAGAGCACGTCCAGGACAGCGATGGTCATGTCAAACCCTCAGAAGAGACAAAGACCCACTGCAACGAGCCCCTCTCCAGCCTGGCCCAATTTAAACATCGTTTACGTTTCATTTATAAACTCCCCAAGCGCCCTCAAAGGTGAGTTTTAATTTTAATTTCGAGCGAGCACCGCAGATTCAGAGAGAGGAAGCGTTTCGCCTGCGCAGTACGCCCGGACAACGCACTCCGCTCAACCCCCTGCGCGAAAAAAAAAAAGGCCGCATTTCCCTTTCAATATCACTTTTTCCGTTCACCTCCCCGTTTCTCAGTTCCCCCGTCAGCGGCTTCATCTCGCGGCACGAGCCGAGACCGTAAGAGAAGGATTTTTTTTTTTTCTTTTTTTGGATATAAACCTGGAGCGCCCAGATCGCCATCCCCGCGCCCCGGGCAGAGCCGAAACGCTGCCGTCGGGAAGCGAGCCGGGGTTTGTGGTTTTTTTTGCTCACCCTGCGGTTTCTGTTGTGATCGGCCGATCGCAGGTGCCTCTGGAGGAGGTGGTTCTGCGCGGGAATTAACATGTCGCACGCCATGCAGTGAGCCGCCTCGATCTTCTTGAAGAAGTGTTCTTGGCCGATACCTGCAGCCACGACAAGAGGTCAGCCAAAATCCCAAATAATCGAGATGTTCGGCCGGTTAACGGTGCATTTCCGCCCCCTCTAACGACCCCGCGTCGCTGCCAACCCTCCAATTCCGCACCCAAACTTCCAGTTTCTGCCTTCGGAGACAAAAAAATACCCCAATCACATCTGTTTCTCTAAGACCACGAGGAGACTTATTCCGCTCGAAAACAGATCGTACCGACGCAGTACCCGAGCGTAGGAGGAAGAGAGACGGGATAACAACTCGAGGTACACAGTAACCGACTCGCCCGGGGCTCTTTTCCTCCCCAAAAGCGGCACGCCTCTCCAAAAATCCATTTAAATAAAGGTGGAAGGGACAACTTGCGCTTCCCCCAGCTCTGGGGTTCCCTTTCTCCCCTCTCCTCCGGCTCAGGTTTTTCCGCCTGCAAGATTTTGTTAAGGCGACGCGCGGCTTAACGAAACCCCCACTCATCGCTCCCCGGACCAACGCGGCCGCGCGTGGCAGACTCCGTCGGGGACAGGCGCGTTGACGAAGCCAAGTCGATTTTTTACAACCCCCACCTCGCGCTTTTTGCCACCACAGATCAACTTCGCCGCTTTCTTTGAACATTAAAAAGCGAACGCAGGATCCAGCCACGAAAATCCACAATTCCTGGGAGTTTTTCCCCTCCGGTTTAACTCATTTTACTTCCTCTGAGATCGCACGAGCCTCACAAATCTGCCGCTTGAGCAACTGCAGCGAGGACGGGCACTCCCCCTTCTCCACCAAGATGATTTATTTCACCAAGTTGGCAACGAAACACCCCAAACCTGAGGCCGAGTTACCCGAATCCTTCGTGTTTGTGCCGCTGTGTCTCTTTGGGAGCAGTATTTATTTGTTTTCCTGCACACTCGCTGGGCCTCCGGACACGGAACGGACACTTACCCTTAAAAGGATCCGGTTTCTGTTTTGTGCCCTCTTTCTCGGTCAACTCCTGGCGCCGCTTCTCGATTTTCTTATTCCTGTTGACGATGTACTCCTGGGAGGGAAGAGGACAAAACTCATCGTCCTCCTCAAAAGGCACTGAGATAATCGAGCGGCTCCAAAGGGAAACGAGCTCCCTGGGGAACACCCACAGCGTCCGTGAATCCGCTAGACGAGGCGGGTGTTTTCCCCTCCCTGTTCCCCGTCATTTCTACCGGAGCGAGAGCCGGAAAAATCCAAATCGGAGCCAGACAGAAGCCCGCTCCCGTATCGCCATCAGATTCCTCGCGGGAGACCCCGAATCTTTGGAGAACGCCCCCAAAATGCAAGCGCTGGTCATGGAGAAAATAAACCCCCCACTCTTTATCTCGCCTTCCTCAGCTCTAGATGTGTGGATGGCAAAGACCATCTCTGGAATATTAATTTCTGGCCTTTCTCTTCAAATTCGTACAATTCACTTTCCCTCTCAATGTGAAAACCGGTGAGGAATCGCGTCACGCCAAGCGATGTCATCGGGTGATGCGTTAACAAGTGGCGACGCGAGCTAAACCAGCAGGGGGATGGATTCGTAACCCCTTCCTGTCCCCTATGCGAGCTCAGGCACCCCAAATTAAGCCCGGGCACACCAAATTAAGCCCGGGCACACCAAATTAAGCCCGGGCACACCAAATTAAGCCCGGGCACCCCGGCACGGATGCAGGGAAGGGCTGAGCTAACGCGGGGCAACGCATATACCTGCAGAAACTCGACCGTTTTATCCGGGAGTTTGGTACCGATGTATCGTAAAGTCTCTTTGTGAAATTTGCTCTGGAGGTGTTTCTGGATCTCCTCTTCCTCGAAGCTGCGGAACTTGCAGACGGAACAGGCAAACTGGATTCTAAACAGAGCAACCGCGCGGCAAATGAGGAACGAGCTCAGCTTAACGAGAACATCAAGAAGATCGCGACCGTTCCCGCCTCTGTTGCCGTTTTCTACCTCTTAGTTGGTTTTTTTCCCCACCCCACACAATTTCACTTTGTCCTGGACCTTTACAATCGCGGTAGAACCTGCCCGGATTAAACAGCATCTCCATAAAAATTTACGCTACGGGAGCGGACGCTAAAATCCCGCAGGAGTTTCAAAGCAACGGGGGAAATTCGTAGGGCAGGAGGCGGATCAGCACTCTCGGATGCGATAAAACTCTCCCTGGTGTGGGAAAGCCCCGAGATACAGAAACGCTGGCGCCTCCCTGCCTGTCTTTACATCACTCATTGTATTATTTTTATCAGCAAGGCCACTTAAAACACCCTCTTGAATTTATAACTCTACACTGATCTGCGTATTAAACACCACGGTATTGTCCGCATCTTAAAAGAGTGATAAAACACACAAAAAAGGGAAAAAAAACCCTGAATGTAGAGCCCCAAAACACAATCCCCCAGCAGATTTCTCCCGCGTTTGTGCGGAGGAACGTCCTCGGTCGATATTTTTCATCGAAGTGCTGGGAACGGACTGGCTAATTGCTTCCCTTACCTGTCCATAGCGCGATCGCGCATCCGATCTCTTCTCCGCTGCTTCTCCCTCTTCTTTTTCACCTCCTCGTCGTCATCTTCACAGCCATCTCCAGATGCTAAAGGAGGGAAAAATAAAAATATAATGAGAATTACCGTGCTCACCATCACCCACTTCGCTGGCTGAGGTATTTTGAGACCCAAATGCTTTGATTTCCTCTTTACTCTCTGCTTCGGGAAGTCTCAAACGTCTTTTGGTCTCTGGAAGCTCTCCCTCTCCCATAGGCATTTTCCGACCGCCGGGAAGCGGCAGCCTGTTTCCAAAGTCTCCAGCCGTTATCCTAAAACCCAAACCCTCCTCTCCTCCATCCCCCTGAACTTCCCGCAGCAGCTCAAAGTCTTTGTAGGCAGCGACAGGACACGCCGTTAGTGGCAAGAGCGGAAAGAGTCCCGATTTTTACGATGCTGCAGAAGACACCTCTCGATCTCCCTCCCTTGGGAGGAGCTGCTACTTCTCCCCAAATTCTTATTTTTTTCCCCTCCTTCATCTGTTTTTTGCACGGCTTAAAAAGCTCCTCGAGAAGGTTAAGCTACAAAAGACAGCACAGTTCTGCTTCCTCGGGATGGTTTTGGATACAATCCTCACGTCACCTATCTAATAATTCCTCCATAGTTAACAGGAAAGCAAAAAAGAAGTAAAGCTTCAGCTGATCTAATCTCTGCAGCGTTTTGGGGTAGAAAACTCCCAAGTCAGAGGTCTATCAGCCTCACAGGACTCGGGTAATAATTCACCTGCAGTGTTTTCGGGTAAAAGGAGCCTGGAGACCAGACCCGGCCATCAGAGGGAAGCTCGATCGAGTTATTTTCACATCCAACACCATCTCACTGAAATCCTGAGAACAACCTAAAAGCGGTAACAAAAGTCCTACACGCGGTTTTCCCCAAGTCACCGTAACGCAGGAGGCACAATGTGCTGGGGGGGGGACACGGACGACGGACGTTGATGTGCCTTTACCAAAAAAGTCCAATCCCAACCCAGCTGAAGTGGTTTCAGCTACTTTCGACCATACGGTTTTCAAATTACTGTTCTAATGTGAATTGATACAGTCCCGTCTATTCGAAAAAAATCAAAACAAACCAGGATTTGGCCCAGGGGTTGAAACCTCCGCCAAAAATTATTTAGTTTATGGTATTTTTTTGCTCTGCCCTGTCGCGAGATGCGCGTCTCACACCGCCGGCCCCCAAACAGGGCAAGAAGATAAACTAATATCCAATATCCCTTCGTACAGACGGCAAACATCGAGAAACCCAGAAGAAACAAAACCGTTTTGGCACTCTGCTGCTAACCAGCGCGGCCATTCTGTGCCGGAGCCCTGGCCTGGTTTACCGCTCGCAGCAGGAGCTGCATCAGCTTTTGACCCCCAAAAATGAAGTCCTCGGGAGCGCCCCAAGGGGAAGCAGACGGATTCGGAGTAGGATTAGTCCAGGACTGCGTGAGGGGGGGGTTAACGCACACCACCTTCCTCCGCCAAATCGCCCCAACTCCTGGAAAAGAGAAACACAAGACGTCGCTGGTGTTAATTACAGAGATTCGGAGGTTTCACAGTCCACCACCCGCAGAATAGGTGAAGGGTTGTGCCATTTGGGGCTTAAATGTCCGTTTTAAAAAGTGTTTACGAAACAGCATAGTTTTCCAAGCAGTGCTTCCCACTATCGGCGTTTAAATCCTTGGCAGCTGAGTCGCCGCTCCGAGGAACACCAAAGGTGACAGGCGGTCACAGGCGAGATAAATGGCAATGACCCCCTGCCAACCCGGCAAACAAACCGCCCAGGAAAGAAATCAACCACTAATTGGAATTCAGCCCTAACGAACCTCGCCAGCAGCAGCAGGACGGGCGCGGGATCCTAACCTTTCCACTACAAGTGCTTTTCAAGCACCCCGGGGGAAGCGAATCTGCCACCGAAGGGCACAGGGAAATTATGAGGAGAAAATGCTTTCGCAATAGATGGGCTCAAAAAGCTGTTTGTGGGCGATTTTAGATATGCCGACCCTCAGCGCAGTCAAGAAAAGCAGAGGAAATTGCTCGAGGCTAATAATAAAAAAAAAAGAAAAAGTTACTTACACCTTTGTCCGCTTCGTCTCCTGATTTTTCCTCTCCTTCGCCCTCATCTGCTGCACAAAAGACAAATCATTTGGGTGGTGTTGGGGGGGGTGTCTTTTCTCTCACTTAACGCTATAAAGGGCCCCTAATAAATCACCGATTGAGCGATAACGGCTCAAAACCCCAGCGAAGATGGCAAAGGGCTCCCTGGTTTCTCTTCACCCGTCAGTTTGCTGCAAACTCTGTCCTTGCTCTCACCGATGCTCGCCTCGGGCATTAAATTTTGCCCCCCAAAATACACAGAACATAACGCCCACCCACTTGCAGGGGTACTATGCCAACTAACGACTGAAAAAAATACAACAGCTTTGAAATGTAACAACTATCAGTCAGATAAAAGACGTAAAAACCGGGGGAAACGGCCAATATTAGCGGGCGAAGACGGCTCGTACCGTTCTCGGTGTCGTCTCCTTCGCTGTCGGTCTTCGCCTGTTTGCTGTCCGGCTCATCGCCGCTTTGCGACTGTTTTCGCTTGCGTCCTCCTCCCTCGCCGTCCGATCGCCCTCCCGAACGGTTTCGGAAACCTCTTCTCTTGGGCTAAAGCGGGAAGAAATCACTTGTATCCATCAAATCGAAGCACCAAAAAACCTCCATAACTAAATTAATAATCAAAGTATTCCACCCATCTGCTACAAGCCCTCAAAAGTTTCAATTCTTGTCACCCCTGCAGACCGATTTTTGGTTATAAAAGCATTTTATAGCTGGGTTAGCGCCCCTGGAGAGCGGATTTGGGGTGAGGTAAGCATTCAGAGGCTCTATTTTATGTGTAAATGGGTCTATACAAGCTTGATGACACCCTACTCTACCCAGATTTAAATTATTCGGCGGTGGGAGCAACGTGAATTAAGACGGGCGCTTCTCCATCCAGCCGAACGGCGAAGCCTACCCACCGCCGCAAGGAAAAAAAAAAAAAAAAAGCAATTTTCACAAGAAAAAGAATCAAAAAAAACCCAACGGTGACGACTTACCATGAGCGTGTTCATGTGCCAGGGCACCGTACCCATCCTGTCTCTGTTTCGTTGCCTCCCCATTCCGTACGGCATATTCCCATACCGTCCCATTCCCATGCCCGACATCCCCATCATGCCATAGTCATAGTCTCCGTAGTCACCGTAATCGCCGTAGTCGCCGTAATCGCCGTAATCCCCGTAGTCGCCATAGTCGCCGTAATCCCCGTAGTCGCCGTAATCGCCGTAATCGGGAACGAGGGCTTGGGAAAAGAGGGAAGGGAGCCTGTTGGATCCGGCACCCCCCATCCCGCGTCCACCCATGTAGTTCAACTCGTTCCAACGGGCCGAGAGGCGCTCGGAGCTGGAGGAGGGCATGAAGTGGTCGGCGCGGTTGAAAGCGTTCAGACGCCCTCGATTTTGAACGCGGTTTTGAGCCCGGCCTCGCATCAGGCCGTAGTTGTTTCCTCGGTTGCGAGATTGATCCCGGCGGTTGTCGAATTGGCTTCCGAAGGAATCGTTCCGATCGGTTCCGACTTCTCCGTAATCGTAGCCGGATCGGTACATGTCGCGGTCGTTCATGGAAGATCTCGAGTCGTAGGATTCGAAAGACTCAAATCTGAAAGAGCTGCGCAGGAGGAGACAACAGTCAGCAGCGAAAATAACATCCCCGCGCATCGGACAGGCGTTTGCATCCGTTTTTATCACAATCCGAGGGGTTTCGGCCAGAAAAACGGAATAAAAATTATTTTTAAACCCCGTGTACCCATTGCTTTCTGTATCCCGCTCCACCTTTTCCTAAGTGTCAGGGAAAATAAGTGACTATCACAGAACGGTGTTTTATTGCACAACTATCTGAACAGAAATCCATCGGAGATTTCAAACTTCATAGCGCTACACCGCTCCGAATTAATGTTTTGCCAGCGGAAAAGCAGATCCCAAAAGCTTCCCCAGGTAAAAGCTGCTTCTCGTTGCCTCTTCCCCGCGCCTCCGCGTGGGAATTAATGCGGAGCAACCCCTCGGTATCTTGGCTGACCGCAGCAGCCAACATCAAACAGCACAAAAAAAAAAACCCAACCCCAAAACGCAAAACTTCATTTATTCAGTAACTCTTGCCAAGATCCATATTATTATTTCAGCAGAAAAATAACGCTCCGGACTTGTTGCATAGTTTAACCCAGCAGGAGAAAAATAGAAAACCTCACATAATTACTGGGCAGCTATGAGGAAAAAGGGAGGCAGAGGGAAAAAATACTTAAAAAACCCCCTAGAAACTATAAATAAAAAACCGTCGGCAAAATCTAGGAATTGAATCGAGAACGGAAGCGGCTTTTGATGTGCACATCAAATTTGATAGGTTTACCATATAAATAATATGTTCACAATATAAAAAATATGTACGTGCGCACACACGGATCAGGGCCGGTAAAAAAGAAGCAGCGAACTTTATTTTCCAAGGAGGAAACGGCGCCTCTGCCATCAGAACAGCTTAATCCGAAGCTATAGTGATTAAAAGGTATTATTTTTTACTACTAAATATAAATAAAAAGCGGTACAGTCACCTCTCCTGGTCTTCCATCCCCTCCCCTGTCCCGCCGCTGCCCTCCTTCGACAGCATATCCAACCGCTGGTTGATTTTGGCTATGATGGAATCCGAGTTCTCGTTGGCTGAGGCCTCGGCGCCATAGGAGGCGACGGGCATGGCGGCGCCCACGTCGGCGTTCATGCTCATCTCCGAGGTTTTGGGGGTTTCCCAGCTGCTGGAGGTGGCTGCGGCGTAGTTGTACGTGGCCGCCGTATTAGCAGCGGTGGGTTGGGTGTTGTAATAGTCGTAGCCCTCATAGCCTGGCAAAAAAAAAAAAAAGAAAAGAAAAGAAAAGGGATTTTAATACAATATTATAAAGACATGGGCACCTGGGGGAAGAGTTTAGACGCGAACGGATCCGCCCAGGCAAGGCTGCAGCTGAGTTTAACCTCCTTTCAAGGCAATTTGTTTTCGTAACGTGAGAAATAGCAAAGATTCTTATTGCCCAACCCTAAAAGCATAAGGGACTTCCTCTTTTCGGCGATTTTAACTGCAGAAACGGAGCGTTGCTGGTTGTATTTACAATTTCTGAACAAGACCTCGAGCTGCCCACGTCACAGGGTCCCGCGAAACGACAGGAGAAAACCCAAAGCGGACACGCTGCCGGGCACATCGCCGTTATACCCATCAAAAAAGGAGCACGATAATAAATTAACGAGAAAAATCAACGCAGCGAGTCGTACTCAAAGACCACCTTGCGGCAAGACACCACGGCGCGGTGGAAAAAGCAACGTGCTCCAGCCACGCTGGTGAAGCTGCCGATGCTTCCTGCGCTGCCGAAATCTGGCCCGAGGGACGCGCGCTCTCCCGGCAATCCTCGTCGCAGCTCTACGGCCCCCGGCTCGAATCCAGCGTTGCTCCGGGAGAGAGATGCGCCGCGAGCTTCCTCTCGCTGCGTCTGACCTTCCAAACCCTTCGTTTCATCGCTCCTCGGGCTCTCGTAAAGCGACCGCCACAATAATCCCCTCTTAATTCTCTATTCCAGCGCTAAAATTGGCATCATTAAGATCGCTGGGGTGCGATGCCGCTACCGGTTGCGCCGACCGACACAGCCTCGTTGTGTCTTTGTATCCCATCTGCCGGCGATGTGTGGTTTTATTTGGATTGTAAACTCTCCGGAGCAGGAACAGCATTTCTGTTTCATTTCATCGGTACGACGGGGTGCGAGTCCTTCACAGGGGCGGCCAGATTTTACAAAAAAGAGGAATAATAGAAGGGAAAAAAAAACACCCCTTCATTTTCACCCATGACTTGAGCCGGGAGGTTTGAATCCACAGCCCAACGCGCAGCGTTTAATTTTCTATTGTGAGGATCAAAGAAATAATATTTTATAAAAGAATCTCAGGCTGTTGCTTAGGAACGCATTAAGACTGGCTTCAAACAGCCATACGATCCAAATCAAGGCCAATCAACTAATTGCTCCGAGAGGAAAAGTTTATCAGCGAAAGCAAATCATGTTTTATTGAGGAAGCGCCAGTTCGCACGTAGAGAACGGCATTTGCGTACCATCAAGCTGCCAGAATTACGAGGGCAAACCTGGGGTTTTGGAGGGGAAAAGGATGTAATCTCAGTAAAATCAATTTATTAATACACACATCTGGCTGTCCCGCATCAAACGAGAAACAGAGACGTAAAATAAATGAACTTTTCTCATCCACAAGTTAATTTTTCCCCGCCTAAAGGAACAGATGGCTGCCGGTCATCAGGACAGAGCTGCTCCCTCGGCACGCGGAAAAGCCAAAATCACGGAGTGAGGTAAAGATAAATAAAGGAATTAGCGAGGCGGAGCGGTTTAAAAAGGGCGGCGTTGCGTATTTCACACCGACTTCCAAGGGGAGACGGTTTACGAGCTGGAAAACAGCTCCGCTTGCCGCAGCCAGCTCGAGAGACGCCAACCCCCAGGGAGAAACGAGGTTTCTTTTTAGCACGTACCTTGCCAGCTCGTCGCATTCGTCGCGTATGTACCTGAGCGGGACAAAAAGAGGAAGAGAGTTTCAGCTCTAAAAGCAACGAAGTTAAAAGTTCAGAGAGGAAATATATATAATTCAGTTGGGAAAAACGATGTATCCTTTTGCAGAGAATGGGAAAGAGAGAAGCTGAGATTTCAAAGAGCTAATTATGAAAATGAAATGGATAATATTTACTTTTATACTTTTTTTTTTTTTTTAAACATTTTCACGTATTTGCCCTTGCGAACAACTCAAATGATTCCATAAAAACCCTCCAGAAGCAGTAAAACCGCAGCAAAAACAAATACAGTCATTAAGACGATCCCTTTCAGGAGAATCTCGCTGCTTTTACTGTTTAGGCTGGAAAGGAGTTCAAAGGAGAGAGCCCAAACTCCCAACCACCCCGGGACACGCTTCGTTTTGCGGCGCTAATAAACCTCAGGAGATAAAAGCAAAGCGTGTTAATTAATCATCTGCAAGGTTGCGACCCATTCCTCCAGCAGCCGCCACTGGGAATCGGAGCGTATCACAGAGGAAGCTTTTCCCAACAAAAAAAAAAAAAACCACCCAAAAAACCAGCAGTAAACCCACTAAAACAGGTAGAGGAGGGAGGAAGGCTGCCAAAGCTGCTTCTGTGTTCTGTTTTTCAGGTTGGAAAGAACTAAAAATAAGTTCTGTTCTAAAATTGCAATTCCTCAGATCTATTTTTACCTACACAAAGCTCACCTTGAGTGTTGGTGGCCCCGGTATTCCAGGTGCCGTAACCTGCAAGAAAAAGAAAGGAGCTATTAGCGGGATTGCCTCCGCTCTGCTCACGGCGTTTGTTTCTTCCCTTAATTGACCCAAAACCCAATAAAGTCTTGAATTACTTCCGCTGTTTATTGTTTGGGAAACACGCCCGATGCTTTATTTCAGATCGTTTCAGCTATCTAAAGGTGGACGAGATGTCTCAAATTAATAAAAAAATCCCTGCGTTTTGAAAGAGAAATCAGTGGTAAGAGGCGCGTGACGTTAACGACGGTGCAAAGTTTCGTTTAGACGGGAGGAAAGCCGCGGGATAAATCACCCGGAGAACCGTACCGGGATAAATCTTCCAAAGAACCGAAGCGGCATCGAGAACGGACGTTTGGGTTGTGTCGTGCCAGCAAAAGCGTCCTTCTTCCTCGGGAATATCGGATATCCTCATACGCAATCCGAGGTTGACTACTGCTCTCACACGAGCCAATAAAATAAATCACGCCGCCTCCACTTTTCAGCACTAATTACAAGATCTGCGGTAACGAGGCGGCTTCGGTCTGGTCTCTCCCTCTGAAACGGTGGAAGAAGCAACAAATGGCCGTGACACACAGAACTCCCGCCACGACTCCACCGGCTCTTTTCTTTCACCACAGCGATTTGTTTTCCTCGCCAAAATAACTCATTTCTCCGTTTTAAACCTTTGCCGAAGCTTCCCGGGTGGAATCGGCATCCCCGGCGCCGCGGCGATCCCCGAAAGACCCGCAGCAAACGCCTTCATCCGCTCAGAGCCCATCGCATAAATAAGCTCCCGTGCCGCCACGAAACCTTGAAATCAAATTTCGAAATCAAAACCAACGCGCCGGGAGTTTTGCTGAAAACATTTCCCGGAGTCTTGGCTGCCGCTTCTCTGCAGGAAAAAAATTTTTTTTTTTTTTTTTTTACTCTTTATTTATTATTCTGATGGGAAAAATGGTTCACGAGCAGTACTACGGACACCTGGCTTCCTATGGATGCGAATTATTTCAACGCTCACCATATTACCCCAAAATTTTCCCTGTTTCTGTTCTGGCTTTGCCTCTCCCCGCCTGGATCTGCGGTTTCCCTTCCCTTTCGCAACCTCATCTCCCTCCAAACGTTCTCCAGCTGAGGAAGAGCCCCCCCAAACCAAAAAAAATCACACACACACACACGCTTCCTTCCTTCCATCTTCCTTCCTTCCATCTTTTAAGGTTCAAGTTGCTTTTCTGCACCTCAGACACCAATTTTGCCAAACTTTTCTATTTCTGGAGGCGGCCCCCCATTTTGCAAAGTTTTTCTCTTTTCAGAATCGGCCCCCAACTTTGCATAACATTTAGTTTTATTCGACACAGCCCCCGATTCCGCAAAAACTTCTCTTTTTTTGGAGGTGGCTCCTGACTTTGCCAAACTTTGCCATTTTGGGAGGCGGCCCCAATTCCGCAAAGCTCTTCTACTTTTGGAAGGGGCCCCCGAGTTCGCAAAACTTCCGTATTTTGTGAAGGCGGCCCCCGATTTTGCCAAACTTTTCTATTTTTGGAGGCAGCACCCAACTCTGCACAGCTTTTATATTTTTTAGGAGGGGGCCCCCAATTGTGCCAAACTTCTCCATTTTTTGGAGGCAGCCACCGATTTTGCCAAACTTTCGTATTCGCTTGCCACAAGCCCCAACTTGGCAAAGCTTTTCTATTTTTAGCGGCAGCCCCTGATTTTGCAAAGCTTTCATATATTTTTGGAGGAGGCCCCCCGCTTTTGCCAAACTTTTCGATTTTCGGTGGCAGCCCCCAATTTGGCAAAGCTTTTCTATATTTGGAGGCGGGCCCACATCTTCCAAAAACTTTTCTTTTTTTTTTTTTTTTTTTTTTTTCAGTTCTTCTGTATAATTTTCTCTAGTCTTTCCAAATATTGGCATACTGCTGTGTTCCTCTTCAAAGCCCCCAATTTTCCAAAACGCTTTTCTTTTTTTGGCAACAACCCCCAATTCGGCAAACCATTTCGTTTTCGAGACAAATCCCGATTTTACAACCCCTTTTTCCCTTACAGATCCCCGCACGAACCCCTCTAACACCCCCCCCCCGAAGGACGCATAGGACACCTCTCCCTCTTAACGACTTTTTATTTTTTCCACAGGGAAAATCCCCTTGAAGACACAAAACCTCCAGAAATCGCGGGCGAAACGACGATCCCCGCCGTATTTTTGAACGGCTGCGGAAACCGCAGCACCAGCAAAACAGGAACTGGCGACACGTAAACGCCTTTTCAAATCGCAGCTTTATCACCGCTTCGATTCCTTTCCCACCGTCGGCGTTTTTAGGTCGAGTCATTCGCCCTTCAGCTTCGCTTTCCAGCGGGATGGGGCCGGGATGCGGTTTTCCAGCTGCCGGTGGGGAGGATCGGGTCAAGACAGAGCAGGGAAATTAAGCAGAAACCTCCGATTCATCGACCCCGAAGCCTGACTTGAAATCCAATTTTAACGCTCTCTCCTCCAGCGCCTTAACTCACCTCTCGAAAACAACCCGCTGAGCGCAGGCGATGGTTTCGAGTGCCACCAAGCGACACCGAACCCCCGGTTGTCACAGGCATCATCCCAGCTCGACGCCCGCGCGCGGGGCACGCTCGTAGCCGGCGAAAAGCCGGAAGAGAAATCGAAGCCAGCGCAGGGAAGCTTTTCTCCGGGGCAGGTCGCTGCCGTTTCTCATCCGGCGTCGCCAAAAATAGCAGCAGCCCTCGTGTTTTCGACCGCACGCAGACGTCGGATCAAAGGAGAGCTCCTCGCCTTCCATTTTTAAGCCGTCTTTGAAAAAACCTCGGGGACATTAATTCAGGAGGCAAAAATAACCTGGCCTCAGCACGAAACCTCTAGGAAAAGGGAGGCTGCTCGGTCCCAAACACGGCGTTTTTCAGCCAAAGGGAGTCCCACCTCTTTGTACCTCCAGATTCTATAGGATAAAGCTCCCGCTTTTACACTCCGTGCGTGTATGTCGGCATGTGGCTTGCTGAGATGTCAGGCCGGTTCTATTCATACAGGTATTACCACGATTATCATATTCTTTCAAGGAACAAAGAAATCTGGGTTAAGCAAAGACCTCAAACTTTCAAAGCAAAGACCTCAAGCTTTCGGGTAAGAACGCGGTAATTAAAGAGTTCAACGTCTGATTTTGAAACTAAATATTACGTAAAAAACCCCACTAGATGAGACACTCGGGTATTAGTGACTCGGCACCACCGAGCAGAGGTTGTATCGTTACTTCTGCAGCAGCGCAAGTCTGTAAATATCCCCAGGAGGGAAAAAAAAAATAAATAAAAAATCAGTGGAATAAATCATCATCGCCTTCTCTTGGGAAAACGAACATGAAATTAAGTGCAGAGCAGGAAAAAAACCAACTCAGAAGGGACTGAGCGGTGAATTTTACTGAGCTGAATGCGCCTTGTGTCCCGGTTCCCAGTTTATTCCCTAGACAGCACTCCCTGAGCTGGGGGAAAAGCTCAGGAATCGTTTTTCTCCGCACACGTGTACAAGCAGAGTGCGAATCCACAAGATGACGGAGCGACGTCGAGAGATTTACACGGTTCAGTCTACATAAAGTGCTGAGAAATGAAGTTTAACACTCGCAGAAAAAAAGCCGGAGTCCAGAAAGCAATTCCCAAAAGGAGAGGTCTGAGGTTCTCCCACTGATTTCAACACAGGACTTTATCCGGGGAGAATAAAGTCTGTCTTCTCCTGGAATTACGAAGTATTTAAATTAAATCTATATATCACAGGCTCCTATGCGAGGCTTGACTGTAAAGGGTGCTCTCCCCCAAAACCCACTCGCGTGGAACCGTATGATTCTCAACGCACAGAAAATTAAAAATAAAGTGGCTGTTATAAGCTGAGCTGGCTACACCTGAGGTTTATTTATAAAACCCCAAATGTGCAAGAAATATAAAGAATACCTTCATTTTTATACTATATAATGGTAAAAATCCATTAACAAAACTTCTCTAAAGCTGCAAAACGCTCGGTGGTCTTAATTTATGAAGAGTTCTGTGAGGAGAAGGGAAGATCCCAGCTCTTGGGCAGCTCGTTAACGTCACAAATCCAACACAATCTTTCTCGGGAATAACTTTTAGCAGCCTAAAAACTCTTCCGAGTTGTTTATCCAGAGTTGCTCGGTTGTCAGTAGAGAGAAACCAGCGTTTGTAGAGGATGATTCAATACACGTTCAAGGTGTTTTTAATCCTGTCCCAGCTTCTCACTTCATTTTTAAGCCCGAAAACCAGGTAAAACACTTAAAAAGCATTTAAAAGCACGATGAAAGAGATGCCGGGCATGAGATCTCCACCAAGCTGAAAGCGGAGACAGAGGGAACCTGGAAAGAGCAACTTGTCAACAGGTCTTTACCAACACGATGTCGGGATGAATTATGAATGATCTCTGCGGAAAAAGCGACGGTGCCGGGTATTAAGAACTTGATAAAACACAGGCAGAAATGCCGTCGCTGCTGTATTATTTATAAAAATCTCGCCGCGTTACTTATAAAATCCTGCTGCAGTCGTAATTACGGGATAAAACCCAAGGAAGCGTTTTCAACAGCGAGTTAAAAATCGCCCTGGTGGGACCTTTGTGTCCCTAAACGTGAATATAAGCGAAGCGGAGAGCAAATTCAAGGTGGGAAGAGGACAGAGGGCTCAAAACAGGCGATGGGGGGAGAGGATCCGGGCTGCTTCATGCCGGGATGCGGGAGCGTTTACCCCACGTGCCGCCATCTCACATCCGGATAAACTTTAGGGGAAGGCGCTTAAACAACGGATATTCGGCTGTTAAACTTCGATTTGAGTGATTTTTCTTTCCATTTTCCGCCTCCGCCAGTCTCGTTCCGTCGTTCAGAGAGGCAAGAAACCAGCGGGAGCCGGGAGAGCGCGCCGCCGCCAA